CCCCAAAACCCCAAAACCCCAAAACCCCAAAACCCCTCAAATATTTAAATAAATTGATTCTATGAAATAAAGTATTAAATATTACAATGAATAAGAGCTTTGAAGCTACTGGGAAAGGGTATGCAACTCATTACAGTATCTCCTTAATTAACCTTCGTAGGGTCAAATACCACTCTAAATTTCGGGCTTAATTCTGATGTCAGGAGTGAACTATCTTCCTCAAGGATCAGTCATCATGTAGTGATTCCAATTTGAAGAGATGCTAAGCCTAAATTATAAACAATAAAAAAAAAGAATTATTAAGCACGGAGAGAGTAAGTGCTTATGAAGATGGGAGTGTGATTAAGGTTAAGAGAACCAAAAATAAAACTGTCTGTAACCTTTATCCTCATTTATAGCCATTCTAAAATAATTATACTGTTGATAAACCTGATCTTGCGAAGAAAAATAAGGAAATAGGGAGTTATTACAGCTTAAACCCTCAAACCATTGCTTTCCAGAAGGTTCTTAGAACTAAGAAAAAATTCTCAAGGAAAGTAAAAATGCCAACTATGTAAGATAAGTTGAGATTAGTATAGATATTCCAAGAAGAAAGCGACTGATTCCCGAAGAAATTCGACTCAGTCATCTTTTAACAGAATTAAATTTCTACCTCAGACAAGTGCTATTATAATGAATATCTATCATTCGAAGGGATTTGCGTCTAATAGATCACATGGAACGATTCCTAAGCGTTCGCTTTCAACTACTTTTCCAAAAAGATCTGCATATATTGAGAGGAAACAACAGAACCGTAACTCCAAAGCTCTCAACACTTATGGATTTGATCAACAAAGAGAAACTGAAGCGATACATAGTTTGGAAGATGTAAAGCTTACAAGATCTCTAAATAGGGATGTAAGAACAAAACATATTCAAGATTTTTTTTAGCTTATGAATCTTTTATAGTTCCTAATGTTATAAATAACTAATTTCTCTATGTATTCCACTATTTTTCGACTATATAAGCCTCTCACAAAACCTCTTCATTACCTCTAAAAAACCTTCTCCATCTAAACTCCTAAAATTTCCTCCTAGAACTCTCCGACCCACTCAAACCCCCTTCACAGCGTCCCTACATGCCCAGTGTTCGACAAAGAGTCTCTTAGCAGCAAAATCTCGACCATGCTCGGAAAAGGTACCCCTCTACTTCTAAAATTCCTACACACCTTCCCTTCTGTTCCTTACCTCTACTGTAGACCTTGACTTTCGTAGAACAAAATTGCTCAGACCCTTCCTGAAACGAAGCGGTTGGATACCCAGGAAGTAATAATGCACTGAATACTAAGTTATTCCCAGTATAAGGTATCTTAATATCCCACTGAGCAATAGTACATAATTTTCTTAACCCTCAGTCAATCCGGAGCCTTAAAGGACCATAAACATAACATATCATCTGGCGCTGGGTCTCGAGTAATTACTGAATTCTTAGCCTAAAACTGGCTTAGTGTTAATGAAAACCTCTGTTTCTTAAATCTTAATTTTTGAAGTAGTTCCTTTTGTTCTTAAAATTTTAGTCAAGATGCATCTCTCTGTTCTTGTGAAATTAGGTTAATACAATTTTAAGGGTTATTGGCGGGGTTTTGGGGTTTTGGGGTTTTGGGG